TCTTCTTTCTCATTAATATCTAAGTTTAGCACTTCTTATAAAACAGGTACGACAGAGATGTCATCTCAGCTTTTGTTTGTCTGGAAATGTCTTTATTCCTCCTATATTTGTAAAGGCTACCTTTGCTGGGTACTATAATCTCAGGTGACAGTTTCTTCCCTTCACTACTCTGGAAATCTTCTACACTTTCTTCTGGCTTGCAAGTTATCTGGTGAGAAGTTTGCTGTAAGAAGAAGTGGGGTAACTTTGCTCTTTGTTGTTGTTATTGTTGTTTGGATTTGTTTTTTGTTTTCCTTAGATCTGAGAATTATCTGTTCATCTTAGAAAGTATGACTACATTTCGTGGTATAACTTTGGTTACATTTGCATAGTGACATTTCATCTTCCTAGACCTGGATATTTATATTCTCTACATTTGGGGAGATTTTTATCATTTCTTTGAATAAACTTTCTACCATTTTCAAATTCTAATGCCCTTCTTGAGCTGCAGTAACTTGAATATTTGCTTTTAAATACTTTCCAAAAATTCCCACAAGTTTTCTGCATTTCTCAAAATGTGCATTATCAAATAACCTATCCTCACCCTCATGAATTCTTCTCTTTATCTTTTTTTCTTTTTGTTGTATGTATTCAGTACAGGGTCTTACTACACAGCTCAGGCTCACAGTGATCCTGTTTTCAGCCTCCCCAGAACTGGAATTACAGGAGTGTACCACCATCCCAGACATGGTGGCCTGCTCAGCGTGCCCAGCAGCAGGGCCCAAGCAGCAGGTGGTGCTGGGAATTCAACCTGGTCCCCTGAGCTTGCCTAAACAGATGCTTAGTCTGCTGAGCTATCTCACTGGCCCTCTGTTCCTTATCCAGTTGTATGCCTTCTGTTATGTTTTTAGTTTTCTTAAGTATATTTTTCAGCCTAATAATTTACAGGCATTTTAAATTCATTTCATCATTTTAAGTTTCAGTTTTCTTTCGGCTCATTTGTTTCCTTTAAACAACTATTATGATCTAGTCAGTCTCTGGGATCTTATTCTGCGTTCTAGATAAGGCCAGGATTTCTTCAAAGTTCTTGATGCTTTTTGGCACATCATGCATCTGGCCATTGAAGGATCAGGTATTTATTCCATTTTTCTAATCTGGTTGTGTGCTAGTCTTTCCAGAAGGGGTTATTTTCTCTTAGTTGGTACTCACTTTCAATGTTTCAGTAATATACAGTACCCTGGTGCAGATGTGGCATGAGTCAACTGGTGGTGTGGTAGCTAGTTAGTGTTAGAGGGCAATCTAAACACAGGTTGACCTCAACTACATGACTGAGGTGTAGGTCAGAAAGGAACAATGGAACACCTAGAAAGGGTAGTCTTTCCTCACAACTTTCTCCTTGGAGTCAGGATCAAACCAAATGTCTCCTCTATCATTACCTCCCCTGGAACCAAGTTCTAAAAGTCTCTTCCCAGCTCTGAGCAAATTTATTGTGACTGAATGAGCCCCAAGCTTCTGTATCAAACCTGTGACCACTGCCACTGCCACCAAGGTGTGTGACACCTGATACCCACTACTGCCCATTGCCTGGAGCTGAAGTGGGCTTGTGGGCAATGACTGCTACAGCTCACCTCAGGGAATGCTGACTGGAATAGGCAGCCAGTAGAATGGAGCCACCTGTCATCCCCTGGCTCTACAGCTCTTCTGGAGGCTTTGTGTAAAGACAAGCCTAAGGTGGGGGCCTAAGGACCTGCCCAATCAGCATTTGGTATTATGAGGCCAGCACTAAGATGTAGAATGAACCTTGTGCCTATCAACCCTTCTTCTTCCAAAAAAAAAAAAATGTGGTCTTGCACTCCTTATCCCACCCACAGTGTGAGTAATGTTGGTGCAGTCAGTCACTTGGCTATCCAGATGAGACTATGCTGGGATGTGCCTGAGACTCACAGTCACAAAGACCAACAGTCTTGGTGTGCAACACAGTTAACAAGAGCTGGAAGTGATTCAGGCCAAAACACAACTCTGTTGCACTACAGTGTGGGTATTTCCTGGTGCCAAGGAAACTGTAGAACTATTTCTGTGAGTACCCTCCTGGTAATGGCTGTATTACTTGTGGCTGAGGGATTGGTTCTGAAGACAGTCCCCTGACTACCAAGCATAACCATAAGCTGGGTCACACCAGACCCTCACACAGCTTCAGGGACCTGCATGGTCTTGGGAGGAAGGCAGGTATACCCCGAGCCTACTCCAGGGCTGTTACTCAGCTGGCTAAAACTCAGGTCTGTCTTACTGGCATGCAGGTCACTGCCTAACATCAGGGCTGGTCTAGAGGTTGTGTCTGAGCTTTCAACCGCACACAGGGCCTTCAGTTTCTGCCATGTACAGGCTCTCACTGAAGCAGGCCTGGCACTTGGCTGCACAACAAAGCCCTTCATACCTTGTTCCCTAGCAGATGGATTCTTGCTTCTTACTCACTCTGCCACCCTAGGTGCCACCTGGCTTAGCAGCTCAGTCTATAATTACTGACCTATCATCTGAATCACAAGTTTTTGTCTAGCACTGAATTTCACCATGACTAGCCTGGTACTGGGTTCAAAAGCCTGGACTTAACCCCAACCCAATGAAAGTCATCTCATTCTGTGATGAGCTGGTTGAAGACCAGGTGATACAAGCAACTCTTTTCTTCCTGCCTCCTTCTGCCTGCCTGCATCTTTCCGTTTTATAACAAATACAGGCACTGTGGTCTCATTAAATTTATTTAATTCTTGTAAAGGTAGTTGGCCAAGGAACAGCTGTTAACACTGGTGTATCTTTGGGAAGATGACCACAGAGGGACTTCACTCAACTGCCATCTTGCTGCACCAGTATTTGTAGAAAAAAAAAAAAAAGAAATTATTGTGTTGATGATTTCCTAGGAAAAAAGTCTAGCCAGTTGTGGAATTACATATTGGTTTTAAGTTGTTTCGCAGTCCACATATTGATATTCCTACCTTCCTCAATATTTCCTTCCTTTACACAAACTAATCTTAACTCATGGACATGCATTATCTAGGAGGTAGCATTTCTAAACCCGCAAACTCATCCAGCAAACCCCACAACCCACCAGCAATGCTTAGGAGAACTAAGCCTGCTCCAGCCTGAGTATGACACCTACAAACATGGTTCCTTCCTGCTTCTGACAAAGGAAGTTTTGAAGAATACTGGAACTACACTATGCTCCCTCAGTAACATGCAAATAACTATGAAATACTTCGTTTTAGTTGTTGGAGCTTTATCATGCACAGCAGAGGATTACAGACTCTTTGGGTTCCAACAGTAAAGAAATTATTTAACAACGTTTAACATTGCCCTCCCCAAGCTTAGTGGAGCATAGAATGCTTTTCTTCTATAGTAACATTTATTAATAGGTTTTAGAACAAGTGTCCCTTGGTGGAGAAAAGGAACAGAACAAGAATTCTCTCCTATATGTTATTCCATAATTTCCCACACTGGTATGAATGAATTGAAAACAAATAATCCTTTATGTAGCAGCCCTGGTATTAACCAGAGACCTATGTACCAGTAAAACAAACAAAAAAAAGCCCACTTTATAATAACAGTTGCTACATGTGGTTGGCCATTTTACAGATGGGGTTTGAGATGAGCTCATGGGTCTGCAGAAACCAGGATGGGTAAAAAGCAGTAATAAGGGGCCTTGCTTTTCAAATTTTGCTCATCAGGAGAAAGTAGAACGGAAAAATCAGGAAGGCATCAAATCATACATAAATGCCACCTCCTCTTTCACGTATTTTTGGATTGTGACATCAACATCTGCTATTTTACCCATCAAGAGAGTTCAAGAAAAAAGATTTAGGTGTTGGGTGTTATGCAAATTCATGAAGGTGAGTCCAATGAGGTTACTTATTCAGAGGTGGCTCTGGTGAGCATAACAGTCATTATCACTTAGGGGTTTGATATACTCAACCAAAGAAGAGGGAAACCTTTATAAGAACAACAACAACAAAAAGGACCCAATATCCTGTCTGAAAACTGGTACAACTGAAAACTGCCAACTAGAAGTAAGGCCTTCTGAGTATTGGTTCTGGAGCCTATTTTTCTTTTTCTTGTTGGTCCCCCACTGAAAATGGAAAACAGAGAAGTTGATGATCACTGACCAAGTCCTTAATATTCTGAGTCTGTTGCAGCTGACACTGGCAGCTACATGGGTTTTAAATCAGTTCTATTGTTGGAGATTATCTGGCCATTGTCCATTTGTATATTCAGTTTTTCAGCTTACAGCAGGCGCTTGGAGGCTTTAAAAATATCAGTCTCATTAAACCTGCTGACCCTTGAAAATTTCCAGTGTCACAGCTACGACTGCTATGAGCTTCTTCTGGAGAAGCACAGTGATTATGCATCTGTTCTCACGCATGTGCTCACAGACACACACACTCACGTAAGAGCAGACATACTCTCCACAGCTGCGTGATCTGGTTTGATGTGTTACTTTTCTATTTCATAACATCCACCACGGCTGCAACTGTTGGCCATTCTGCAGAGTCTTTTTTGCTCTGTGAAGATGAAAACATGGCAAACTGAACAGCTTCATTGGCATTACAGTTTTGGAGAGGGAATCGG